ATTCATATTAATTTGCTAAATGGAAGGTAAACTAAGTTGTTTAAATTTGGTTTTATTGGTTAATTCATATTAATTTGCTAAATGGAAGGTAAACTAAGTTGTTTAAATTTGATTTTAACGGTCAATTCATATTAATTTGCTAAATGGAAGGTAAACTAAGTTGTTTAAATTTGGTTTTAATGGTTAATTCATATTAATTTGCTAAATGGAAGGTAAACTAAGTTGTTTAAATTTTGTTTTAACGGTTAATTCATATTAATTTGCTAAATGGAAGGTAAACTAAGTTGTTTAAATTTGGTTTTAACGGTTACTTCATATTAATTTGCTAAATGGAAGGTAAACTAAGTTGTTTAAATTTGGTTTTAACGGTTATTTCATATTAATTTGCTAAATGGAAGGTAAACTAAGTTGTTTAAATTTGGTTGTAACGGTTACTTCATATTAATTTGCTAAATGGAAGGTAAACTAAGTTGTTTAAATTTGGTTTTAACGGTTAATTCATATCAATTTGCTAAATGGAAGGTAAACTTATTTGTTTAAATTTGGTTTTAACGGTTAATTCATGTTAATTTGCTAAATGGAAGGTAAACTAAGTTGTTTAATTTTGATTTTAACGGTTAATTCATAATAATTTGCTAAATGGAAGGTAAACTAAGTTGTTTAAATTTGGTTTTAAAGGTTAATTCATATTAATTTGCTAAATGAAAGGTAAACTAAGTTCTTTAAATTTGGTTTTAACGGTTAATTCATATCAATTTGCTAAATGGAAGGTAAACTATGTTGTTTAATTTGGTTTTAACGGTTAATTCATTTTAATTTGCTAAATGAAAGGTAAACTAAGTTGTTTAAATTTGGTTTTAATGGTTAATTCATATTAATTTGCTAAATGGAAGGTAAACTAAGTTGTTTAAATTTGGTTTTAACGGTTACTTCATATTAATTTGCTAAATGGAAGGTAAACTAAGTTGTTTAAATTTGGTTTTAACGGTTATTTCATATTAATTTGCTAAATAGAAGGTAAACTAAGTTGTTTAAATTTGGTTGTAACGGTTACTTCATATTAGTTTGCTAAATGGAAGGTAAACTAAGTTGTTTAAATTTGGTTTTAACGGTTAATTCATATCAATTTGCTAAATGGAAGGTAAACTAATTTGTTTAAATTTGGTTTTAACGGTTAATTCATGTTAATTTGCTAAATGGAAGGTAAACTAAGTTGTTTAATTTTGGTTTTAACGGTTAATTCATAATAATTTGCTAAATGGAAGGTAAACTAAGTTGTTTAAATTTGGTTTAAACGGTTAATTCATATTAATTTGCTAAATGGAAGGTAAACTAAGTTGTTTAAATTTGTTTTTAACGGTTTTTTCATATTAATTTGCTAAATGGAAGGTAATCTAAGTTGTTTAAATTTGGTTTAACGGTTAATTCATATTAGTTTGCTAAATGGAAGGTAAATTAAGTTGTTTAAATTTAGTTTTAATGGTTAATTCATATTAATTTGCTAAATGGAAGTTAAACTAAATTGTTTAAATTTGGTTTCAACGGTTAATTCATGTTAATTTGCTAAATGGAAGGTAAACTAAGTTGTTTAATTTTGGTTTGAACGGTTAATTCATATTAATTTGCTAAATGGAAAGTAAACTAAGTTGTTTAAATTTGGTTTTAACGGTTAATTCAAATTAATTTGCTAAATGAAAGGTAAACTAAGTTGTTTAAATTTGGTTTTAATGGTTAATTCATATCAATTTGCTAAATGGAAGGTAAACTAATTCGTTTAAATTTGGTTTTAACGGTTAATTCATGTTAATTTGCTAAATGGAAGGTAAACTAAGTTGTTTAAATTTGGTTTTAACGGTTAATTCATATCAATTTGCTAAATGGAAGGTAAACTAATTTGTTTAAATTTGGTTTTAACGGTTAATTCATGTTAATTTGCTAAATGGAAGGTAAACTAAGTTGTTTAATTTTGGTTTTAACGGTTAATTCATAATAATTTGCTAAATGGAAGGTAAACTAAGTTGTTTAAATTTGGTTTAAACGGTTAATTCATATTAATTTGCTAAATGGAAGGTAAACTAAGTTGTTTAAATTTGTTTTTAACGGTTTTTTCATATTAATTTGCTAAATGGAAGGTAATCTAAGTTGTTTAAATTTGGTTTAACGGTTAATTCATATTAGTTTGCTAAATGGAAGGTAAATTAAGTTGTTTAAATTTAGTTTTAATGGTTAATTCATATTAATTTGCTAAATGGAAGTTAAACTAAATTGTTTAAATTTGGTTTCAACGGTTAATTCATGTTAATTTGCTAAATGGAAGGTAAACTAAGTTGTTTAATTTTGGTTTGAACGGTTAATTCATATTAATTTGCTAAATGGAAAGTAAACTAAGTTGTTTAAATTTGGTTTTAACGGTTAATTCAAATTAATTTGCTAAATGAAAGGTAAACTAAGTTGTTTAAATTTGGTTTTAATGGTTAATTCATATCAATTTGCTAAATGGAAGGTAAACTAATTCGTTTAAATTTGGTTTTAAAGGTTAATTCATGTTAATTTGCTAAATGGAAGGTAAACTAAGTTGTTTAATTTTGGTTTTAACGGTTAATTCATAATAATTTGCTAAATGGAAGGTAAACTAAGTTGTTTAAATTTGGTTTAAACGGTTAATTCATATTAATTTGCTAAATGGAAGGTAAACTAAGTTGTTTAAATTTGTTTTTAACGGTTTTTTCATAATAATTTGCTAAATGGAAGGTAATCTAAGTTGTTTAAATTTGGTTTAACGGTTAATTCATATTAGTTTGCTAAATGGAAGGTAAATTAAGTTGTTTAAATTTAGTTTTAATGGTTAATTCATATTAATTTGCTAAATGGAAGTTAAACTAAATTGTTTAAATTTGGTTTCAACGGTTAATTCATGTTAATTTGCTAAATGGAAGGTAAACTAAGTTGTTTAATTTTGGTTTGAACGGTTAATTCATATTAATTTGCTAAATGGAAAGTAAACTAAGTTGTTTAAATTTGGTTTTAACGGTTAATTCATATTAATTTGCTAAATGAAAGGTAAACTAAGTTGTTTAAATTTGGTTTTAATGGTTAATTCATATCAATTTGCTAAATGGAAGGTAAACTAATTTGTTTAAATTTGGTTTTAACGGTTAATTCATGGTTTTTTGCTAAATGGAAGGTGAACTAAGTTGTTTAATTTTGGTTTTAACGGTTAATTCAAACTAATTTGCTAAATGGAAGGTAAACTAAGTTGTTTAAATTTGGTTTTGACGGTTAAATCATATTAATTTGCTAAATGGAAGGTAAACTAAGTTGTTTAAATTTGGTTTTAACGGTTAATTCATATTAGTTTGCTAAATGGAAAGTAAACTAAGTTGTTTAAATTTGGTTTTAACGGTTAATTCATATTAATTTGCCAAATGAAAGGTAAACTAAGTTGTTTAAATTTGGTTTTAACGGTTAATTCATATTAATTTTCTAAATGGAAGGTAATCTAAGTTGTTTAAATTTGGTTTTAACGGTTAATTCATATTAATTTGCTAAATAGAAGGTAAATTAAGTTGTTTAAATTTAGTTTTAACGGCGAATTCATATTAATTTGCTAAATGGAAGGTAAACTAAATTGTTTAAATTTGTTTTCAACGGTCAATTCATATTATTAACTGTATGGAAGGTAAACTAAGTTGTTTAAATTTGGTTTTAACGGTTAATTCATATTAATTTGCTAAATGGAAGGTAAACTAAGTTGTTTAAATTTGGTTTTAACGGTTAATTCATATTAATTTGCTAAATGGAAGGTAAACTAAGTTGTTTAAATTTGGTTTCAACGGTTAATTCATATTAATTTGCTAAATGGAAGGTAAACTAAGTTGTTTAAATTTGGTTTTAAAGGTTAATTCATATTACTTTGCTAAATGAAAGGTAAACTAAGTTCTTTAAATTTGGTTTTAACGGTTAATTCATATCAATTTGCTAAATGGAAGGTAAACTATGTTGTTTAAATTTGGTTTTAACGGTTAATTCTTATTAATTTGCTAAATGGAAGGTAAACTAAGTTGTTTAAATTTGGTTTTAACGGTTAATTCATATTAATTTGCTAAATGGAAGGTAAACTAAGTTGTTTAAATTTGGTTTTAACGGTTAATTCATATTAATTTGCTAAATGAAAGGTAAACTAAGTTGTTTAAATTTGGTTTTAACGGTTAATTCATATTAATTTGCTAAATGGAAGGTAAACTAAGTGGTAAATAGATTTAGTTTTATGAAACAGTTGTCAACCATTAAAGGTTTTTGAAATTGAAAAAGCTGTAGCCTTAAAACAATGAATTTTAGTCAGAATTCCATAAATGAAAAATTTATGACTTCCAAGGAAAGCAACGCATTCAAAAAACCAAAAAAATAACGATATTCTTCTGGCTCCTTCGTGTTCATTAACACTTTTCCTACGTTTTGTTGAACATTTTGGTTTTTTGTTTCCTAGACAAAGATCGACTCTCTTAATGACTTTTTTTTTGAATGACAGTTAATGAAGGGAAATTTTTTTTATTAATTGAGTGAGTCAATGCCTGTTTATTGAAATGGAAATAATTTTTAGCTGCAGCCATTTGATGTGAGGTAGATATTTGAAATAATTTCAAAAAGTTGAAATGAAAAAAAAACATTTTATTGGTATGTAGAATCATTAAACTTATTCAAACCCTGCCCAATTGAAGCAGAATGGGGCATGTTAGTTGATCAGAGTTGCCCTGATCTAAACAGTCTAGTTCCGCTTCGCTGGAGTGATGAATTCTATTTTTATAGTATAAGCTCGATGTAATTTGATTGAGACAGATTAGGGTAAGTGGTTTTTCTTTTTTTTTTATATGCTCAAGGGTCTGAAAGATGTTCTATTATGTTCTATTATTCTAGTGGCGCTCAATAAAAAGATATTAATCTCCTTATCTTGATACTTAGAATACATTACCATTTTAAGTAGCAGTAAGCCCGTTTAAATCTGTTTTTAAAGAAAAACTATTTATGCATAATTCAATAATTCAGCCCACTTTGCTGCGTTTTTTGTTCTCGATTCGAATCTGTATTTAATTCATTCTTAATCTTTTCGATTCGATCTCTTGACACGCTTGAATTTGACAGGTTTCCTAGACGCCTCTCTGAATTGATAGATTGCATGTCGCGTAATTTCCCGTCGGCTTTTTAAAAATCAATTCTATTTCCTGATTGTTCAGAGCTCGCTCGATTCTTTGCAAATAAAAAATTAGGTCGGAATATGACCAACTCCACCTGAGTAATTTGAAGCACAATCAGTGTGATATATAATCTCGTAAAACTGTTCAACCTTTAAAGCAGCTGCCCTTCCGGATAATTTGTGGATAAATTTGAGTTATATTTATCATAACTACGATCAAACTACCATAAACTTGACTCTAATTTTGGGACGTATGGGCTACATTAGCAAAATAAAGCTCTCATGCGTCCGTTATTTGGTCTATTTCCATAATTCGAATGTAAAGCCCTAAGGTTATTTAGCATTTTGGTGAAACAAACAGTTTTACAGTTTTTCTAGGTCACAAATGTGGTAACAAAAATAAAAATAGCACCAAATTTTGATTCTTTTACTTACAATACCAGCCGAAGTTTGCAGTCAACTACCCTATTTACTTTGCCATTCAACAGAAGAGTCGACATTTGACAAATAATTACAAAGCAGGTCAACTCTCAAATGGGTCTAAACTGCCTGATATAAAATAAACAGGGTTTAGGAAATTAGACGAAAAGCAAATTAGACGATCAAAAATAACGGAGTTTAGACCATAACTGCGTGCAAATTGCGTGAAATCTGTAAACATACTAAATTAAATTTATGCATTTCAAAGTTTAGTTTACTTTTCCGATTAAGTGTTTTAAAATTAATTTAAAATCATAATTCAGTTCTTTCATCATATACTCTTTTTATTTTCGTCTAACTTCATTCAAAACAAAAAACTTGTTAATCCAGTTCTTTTTGTCTAAGTTTACAACAAGTTATCGTCTAATTTCAGTTTTTACGGTCGTCCAATTAGCTTGTCTATTTTCCTAGGCTCCAAAACAAACTTACATATCTAATTTTTGGATCTAAAAGAAGTTTCCCTATTTTTACACTTGCCAGCTTCCGAGCGTAAAGTTTTAGTACCAACCTTTTTTTATTTCATTTTCCAGCCTAACTCGCAAATAAAAGTATCCATTAAAAATGTTCACTTATTTGGTGGCTTTTTGCTTTGATCACGATCTGTAGCATTGGAAATTTCGTAGCATCTGTTATCTGTTTTATTTGTGGCTAGTGTTTATGGTTGATTAAGCGTTTGTGGCTGAGTGCGTGAGACTCATAATTTCTTGGTCGAAGATCGGATGCGAGGTCCGAGACGCAGCTGAATTTTTTCGGGGCTTATAGTAATTCGGGGCTTTTTTCTACTTTTTCTTGTCGCACTTTAAAGAGCTGTTTTTCTCTGTTGTCGCTAGTGTTTCCGAAGCACTGCTTCGCCTCTATGTAAAAATTGTTAATAGGGACCATTTGGATTTTGCTCATTCTCTTTAATTTGCTCTATTTTACCATACTCAGATTCTTTCAACATGAGCTTTTTACCTTTTCGCTTTGCCGAAAGATCATTTTCTCTCCTCGGAACTTTCAAACGAGTCTCGTTTCTTCCGATTATTATTTGTCTTCTCGCTCTCGATTTTCCCTTGTCTCTTCCCGAATCTGCCGCCCCTTTTATGCCGGCGGCCTATGAGAAGAGCATTCGTCCCGGATTTTTCCAGGATGTGCCAACGGAGGTTAAGCTGGAGTTGGTTTTGGTGTCCTTTGGCCCCGTAGACAATAAGCGCATGACTGTTTCAAGTGAACTATATGGTCGTTGTCGATGGAAAGACGAGAGACTCACAGGTGAGAATATTGTTTGGATTTTAATGATTCGAAAAATATTAAATATATAATCAGGGGCGGATTTAGAAGGAGGGGGCGGACACCTCTCCCCCCCCCCCCCTCCCCCCTCAAAATTAGTATATATTGGCGCCCAAGGCGCCCTTAGAAAATGTTTAGAAGTCCGTCACCAAATACCAAACATGGATATCTCAAAAAAGTACATAAGGGGGAGCCTTTTGGCCGGCAGGGGGTTGAATCCCTGAGAAGAAGGCGTCCACTCACCCCCCCCCCCCCCCCCCTAAATCCGCCCCTGTTTCCAAGAGTTATCAAAAAGGCATTTTTTGGTATTAAAAGGGTGGAATTGATGCGTAGAGATTCGAGAAATTGCCCTTACTACCCGATATTCACACCTCTGCAAATCCACTGTCACTAGAAGAGAGAGAAAGAGGGGAAGGTGTCCCCAGAGGTGGAACCGGGCCTGAATTTGAGGCCCGGGTCCAGTCGGCCCGGTGCGAAACAAAAATTTTTAGACCGGGCCCGTCCCGGGCCCATTTTTAACAAAAACGCGAATTTCTAACAAAAAGGGTGAAGTGAAGTGTGAAAAGTGTTAGCGGAAGTGTGAAAGATGTAAACTCTTTTGAAAGTCAGGTCCGGGCCCGGCACAGCCCGGTTGCTGATCCTAAAACTGCGGCCTGAGCACGGCCCGGGCCCGGTTCCAACTCTGGGTGTCCCCGTTAACAGACATGGCCAAAATTATGTGCTATAAACCAATAGATGCTCTTTTTCAAGAACAATGTCAAGAACACTTCCACACACTTGTAACATCCCAGAATATCTTATTTAGTCCTGTCTTTTCAAGAGTCAGCTATAATCAGATAGATTTTTTCTATCTGCTTTGTTCAGTTTCTTAGTTCGCCAGTCGCTTACAATATTTTAATGAAAGTTCATTCAAGTTTTCTCATGCAGTCCTATTCTAAAGGTAAAAAAAACCAACAAAAGCTATAACTATCGGGGAAAGTCTTGATAATAACTGCTGAGGTGCTTGACTTTGTTGTCCTCCCGAAACCATTAGCCGACCGGTCTGGTAAAGCAACGAAGGCACGAAAGCGTCAAACATCCTTGCTTCCTCAAATTGATCAAAAAACTCTTCTTCACTCCGTGAGTAGTCTACGCCGTTAAAGTAGTTAAGTAAATCTTCAGGTAAGTTATCACAAACAGTTATTCCCTCGTTTTTAGGCTGATAAATAGTGAAGTTTTCCACAATTGTCAGGTTTTCTGGTTGGGTCCAATAACATTTTTGCATGGGTTTTGAAGTTGGACTTCGTGAAAAACAAAGTCCCGGTACGTTATCTTTTACCCGGTGCAAGCCATATTCATGCATAAAGCATAATTCACAAATATTCTCATCTGAAATCAGCTCACATTCTCCTAGCAAGAAAAAATCGGCATCCTGCTTTTGTAATTTAAACTTACTTTGAATAAATTCTGCTTTGAAAACACCTTCACTGTGCAATGTTCCGTATTCTAGTCTGCTAAAAGAGCGTCCCAGTTTGATTGATGTAATTTTTCTCGCATTGAAAAAAGTCTCCTTTGGTAGGTATAATGGTCCACTTCGAAAATCAACATAATTTGAATGATTCTGTGACGGAGCATTTTTTGGCTGAATTATTCTCGGGTAATAATAGTCGACGCCCCATGAAAATGAAGTATTGCTGCTACCCGTAGAAACAATATGGGTCAAATTGTCCCCAATAATCTTGGTGTTTTGAATCAGAAAATTAGAAGCGTTAATGTTTCCGGTATAGTGGATGGGGTTGGCTAAAATAACCGAAACATCGTGAAGATCATTCAAGGTTAGACTCGATACCTCTTTGAACCCTCGCAAGTCCAGAACTGCTTGACCGGCTTTGGAAAATGAGTTGCGCACAATAAGTCCTTGTAAGCGAGGAAAGAACCTGCTTCTAGTCAAAGTTTCGACATCTGCGGGAAGAAGGAATGGCATTCGACTGATGACAATCCTGTGGGGCTGACAGTTTCCAATTTGGTCAAAAGCCCGAAAAAGGTTTTGCAATCCATCAAACTTTAGATTATATAACAGCACAGTTACGTAATCGGGTTGTATTCCTTCCAGCGTGAAAGTGCAGCTGATTTCAAACGCGGGCGAAATTTTTGTAGCGAGTAAACTTTTCATCGATATAAATACTACATTTTTCATCCCCGTGTACGAATGGCACCGTAAAACAGTGTTTCCATCGCACTCACATCTTGATTTCACGCCCAAATTTGTCTTACATAAATTGTCGGAGAAATTCAAGGTTGTTTTGAGTAGAATTGAGCATAGTGATAAATGAAGAAAAACTTCTCTTTGTTCCATTCAATATGTACAATTCTTTGTTTTTTTTTGCAGTTTCAAATTCAGTTCGAAAATATTTGACTTATAGATAACGGTCAAAGTAGAAAAAAAGTTGCAGTGCAAATACGATTACGATAAATTAAACTTATCTGTGCTTTGTTTTCATCAGCTCTTATGCTTTTCAACTAATCTGTTTGCTGTGATGCATTAAAAAAAATGAGCGCATAATTTTTCTCGACTGCGAACTGCAATTTATTTCCTCGGATAAAACGAGCACTTCTAAAAACTACTTGCTATCATAAGGCAATCTTGCGACCATCCATTATAAAACAATTATCAATAAAATGAAAAACAAATCAGCTCTTTTCCAGTGAACAGCCACCTCAAAAAATTCTGATACTTGACTGCATCCCTCGGTGCAAAGCCTCATCAGTTGTAAGCTCATCATTTGTAGTAGAAGGACAACAGCTATATATTGCATCGAGAACTTTTGTTTAAAAAAATGAGACACGCTGTGTCGAGATGTAATTAAGTTTCGAAATGAAATATGAGCTGTAATGCTTAGCTGGTATAAAACACATTTGAAAAAACTTTCACGCCAACACATGATTTTTATTTAATAAGTAGCTTTCTTCGGTGGCGTCCCTCGTGATGAAGAGACCGAATGTTGGAAATTTATTTTCACAGCCTATCAGAGTTGAGTTTTCAAAATTGTTAGAGAAGTCGCAGAAACCTCTAAGAAAACGAATAAATCCAGGCCATTAAACCTAATTTTGACCAATAAAAAAATAAGCAGAGACAAGCAGTTTTCAAATATTGCGAAAGCGTAAATTAGAAAAAAAACGATTCGAAAAAACATGAAAAATTTAACAAAATTTTTTGCTTAGCGCACAATTTGTACAGCAAAACCTTGCTGTACCGTTTTATTTAAGTTTCTGTTATTAAAGACTTCGGTTATGTGCAAAAGTCGGTTAGCCAATTGGAATGTCTACTGCTTCTGATTGCTTGAAAACTTTCAATGATACGGTCTTTCCATCTTGAGTTTTGTTTGATTGTTCTAGAAGAGATAATGCACTACTGTTTTAAATTTTGCACTAGTGCTTCAAATAATGCTCCAGTTTTTTGTGTGTTTCTTTAGTTTTTCAAATATTATGCACGCGTGGGTTTTATCATATCTTAGGTCAATCTTACGACCATTCGATACAACCCAGTTTTTAGTAAAATGAAATCGAAGCACATCAGCTTTCCAAGTGGCTCTTTTCCAGGGATCTTGTTAACAATGCCCCCTATTGCAACAGGAGGGAGATGCGTCGCAGGGTACCAAATTCGTATATGCTTAACTGTTCTTTCTTTAGAGGGGGGGATTCGTTACAAGAAATTTGAAGTGGTGAACAAATTGACAACTCTGAACAGATTTGTTCTTCATACTTTACAGCGTAACATCACACATTTAGCCGTTATAACAAGTAAACAAACAGAAAACTCGGTATTTTGAAAGTGGGCTGGAAAAGAGCCCGCCCCCTTTATAAATATGGTACAAGACTCGTCGAAACAGTGTAAAACCCTGATTCTTTCGAAGTTCCATTAAAAGGTGGCAAGTATTGTTTTGTTGAAAATTCAAATCAAACTTTTACCTAACATCTTTTTTCCCACACTTGTTTTCCCCTGCACCTATAAAGTACAAAATTATAAATTTCGAGGCCAATAGACGGTTTGAGGTTCGGGTTCTCGTTCGGGCTTGCGGTTTTTCTTGAAAAAGTAATACATTTTTGCGCTGAAGCGTTATTATAAGTCATCAAGTTAACAGCATCAACAATATCGCTCTGCAACGAGAAAATTGAAACTGCTGATTGTTAATTGAACAAAACTTTTTATTTTTCAGTTTTTCAAATTGAAAAGATTTTTTGAATGAAAGTTCCGAGCTTCATGAAAAATTTCGTGGCCGGCCTCACGTAAAAACAAAAATTGGTTGAAAACGGGATTACCCATTAAGCCCGGGTTGTGGTACACGCGGCAAGTTGACATTTAACTGAATTCGACAACTGGCAGTATTTAGAGAAAACGACTGTTCGTAGAGTTCGAGTTTTTGCACCGGTCGAAAATTAGTGGCTTAACCTCTCGGCCAAAAATTCATAAAGATGTGCAGAAGTTTCATTGAGCGTTTTCGAGCCCCCTCATATAGGTCGTCATGATTTTTTGTTCTTCTTTGGGAAACGGCGGTCTTAAAGTTTGTTCAACATCAAACCTGATTTTTCGATGTTTGGTTCTTGACTGGAATGAGTTCATTTCAATTGTTAAAAGGAAGGTTGAAAGTTTTTCTAAATGAAAAAACATGCAAAATGGGCCATCGTGTTTTGGAAGCTGTTTCATGTTTATTTTTAGTTTTGAAAATTATCAATTGGTCTAAGTGGATCTAACTGACAATTAACTCTCTCCCATGTCAAGAAAAGTGAGTTTACTCTTCAGCTGATTAAATATAATTGAGAAAATTTTCAACCCCAATCAGAATGAAGTAAAACTCTCAAACGCTTAAAAATTTAAGGATACAGCTGTTACGTTTAGCAAATAAAAATGAGCTTCAAGCTAAAAAAAAAACTGCCTGCTAACAAAAAATTTTCAATTACAAGGAATGATTTTTTTAGTTTTTAGTGGAAGGCGGTCAAAAAGT